AAAGCACTGATGTCAAGCAGTGCATTGGACTCAGGGGGTCTAGAGACACTGACACTAACAATGGCAAACATGGCTGCTTAGATTAAGCCTGGACCAAGAAATAACTTCCTCGTAAACCAGAGAACAAAAGGACACAAGCAACTGGGTAGCATCTGAAACAGCCCGAAAAAAGGAAAGGGTAAAATGAAGAGATATTGAGAAAAGTTATTGAGCGAAGCAAACAAACAAAAGCTCTCTGAAATCAACAAATCAAATTAGTAAGTGTTTATTCTACATGCATTATGTGTGAGTTATGTTGCTGGCCATGTGGTGGGTGATGGAAGAGTTCTGTAGCCTCACTGTAGCTTCTATAATCACTGAATTCAGAAGCTTTTAGGTAACTCAAATGACAGGATCCTGCAGAATTCTTGGTTACACACACTTACGTATGTACATAAATATCACTGAGGCCCAGTGAAGGCTCAGTGAAAGCACCTCCCAAATTAGGGAGGTCTAAAGGATTCTGGAACCTTCCTTGTCTTCCTTATGACAGGTGCCTTTAGGTCACATTTGGGCGGGGGGAGAAAGGAGGTAATTGTGGCAGTATCTATTGCAGTTGGATATAGCATCTTTCCCTTACCTTTAACTCGCTTCAAGTTGTGAGTTAGAAGCTGGCAGGACTCATACCAGTAGGAAAAATCGGAGACTGAGAGGGAACAATCTTCTTGTGGTAGCTGGTGCGGTACTGCTTTGTGCTACTGTTTTGAGGAGCCAGATGGGAAATTTTTTATTGCACACTTTATGGAATACTTTGCATCAAGTCAAATCTGTACACCCTCAGAAGTGCTTATAAAACATGATCCTGCTTGGCCAGAGTGGCTCAGTTGGTTGAGTGTCGTCCTCTGCACCGCAAGGTTGTGGGTTTGATTCCTGGTCAGGGCACATGCCTGGGTTGTGGGTTTGATCCCTGGTCTGGGCACATATGGAAGTCAGCTGATTGATGTTCCTCTCTTTCTCCCTCTCTCTAAGCATGTCCTCGGGAGATGATTAAAAAAACCAAACATGATTCCTAATTTCAAGGGTAGACATGGCAAAGACATGAAAGAGAGAAAATGATTATACAAAACAGTGTCCTGTGAGGAAGAACTTCATGTTAGAAACAATGTATAACTTATAAGTTGCTTCTGGTCAAGAAGGTGATGTCATGTTACCTTAGAGCGAGCTGTGAGCTGGCTGACCCTTTGAGTCAGGTGAATAAAGGTAGTTGGGCAGCTAATATTGTGGGGGTAGGCCACTACTTTCCCTAACCTTATGGAGCCATTTAGTCTCTTTACGGTGACTGTAACTATATGGTGAGTACTGTTGAACAACTATTATGTCCCAAGTATTTTGCCAAGAACATTATCTATATTATCACCTATTGATCCCTCTGGCCCAGTTCATTGTTAGTTTTCTTGACCCACACCCCATGACCTTAAGCTGAATTAATAATTCCATTACTAATTATTAATCAATGATAATGCTCCACTAATTCTGTTCACTCCTTTCATAGAGCACTTCTCATTCTATAGCCTACATTTCTGGCTGTCCCACTGCCACTGAGCTGGGAGGGAGCCGCACCCATATCTCACTTCAGTTTCCCAGCATTTGGTAGTTCCTAAGTACTCTGTTGAGTGAATGTTGAGTAGAAGTCTGCGACTTCAAACTCATTGAAGAATCATGGAACTTTTGAGCAAGAGAGGATTTAGAACCTTTGCTACAATCGCTTTACACATGTGAAAAATTAAGTTGGAACAAGTAACTTCCTCGAGGCCACATAAACTTGGGAGGATGAGATTAGAATCCAGTTTCATAGCTTTTCAGCTCAGTACAGTTTCTTCTATAGAAGATGTGATCAAAACTCAGCTAAATCTCCTGGCCCCACCCAAATCCTATCAGCAATTGGCCTTTGGGCCTTCAGGCTCTTTCTGTGATATAAAATTTCCTAAAAGAATCCACTTTTACATATAGCTTTCCTTTCACAGTTTCCCCATTCCAAAGTCCAAACTCAAAATTGGCTGGCTGTTACTGTAGCATGACAGTGTAAAAGTTGGGGTGGGGGGAGCATTCTGTCTATATTTTCACTAACAAGTTCTTTCCACAAGCTCCCTTTGATTCAGCCAAATCAAATGCTTGTTAACAAGCACACCGTACTCTTTCTTCCCCATTTCTTGAGATATGCTGTTCATTCTGACTGGAGGAGCCTTTCTCCTTAACAACCCGGTGAACTTGAAGAAATTGCTCCCTTTCTGGACTGGGACCTCCTAGCACAGAATGGAGACCTGGCTTTAGTCACACAGTGATTGAGTGAGTGCATTTGGTGTGTCTAGCACCTAGCAGCATAGCCCTCAACAAAGTTCACTGAATGACTGGATCTTTGGAAAATTACAGAAATGTAACTTACTCTTCAGAATTGTAAGCAACCCTCTACCAAAAATTTTGTTTGGAGGAAAAAGAATATGTTGGCTCACTGTTTTTGTTGTTGTTGTTGTTTTCTTTAACTCTAGCTCATCTGTTATGACTGCCATTCTCACTCCCTCTGTGAACTCCACATTCTCCCAGCACCTCTGCCCCTGGACACTTGTGGGAGAGGAATCCACACATTCCTGTGGGGCTCCATCACTGGAGCAAGTTCTCAGTAGTTGGGGAAGTCTGGGCTGCAAACAGGAAGTGTCTGTACTTCTGTCTGTGCCTGGGGCAAAACCGGCAGAGTCCACCTGTGTGGACATTCTGACCAAGTATCAGTCGGGCTTCTCTTTCCGGAACTGGCATCTCGCATGCCTGTCAGAACAGTCCCGCAGCAATGGTCAGGTTGGGAGCCCCTCACGCCTCTCCTTCACTCTAAACAATCTTAAACGGGACATTTTAAAAAATTGTTTTGGAATTTTGAGTTTGCAAAGCATCCGAACGACTGACCCCTTCTGACAGACTGAGGGCCAAAGAGCAGCAGAGGCAGGTCCCATAACCTAGAATCCTTTTTTCCTCCCCCAATGCCCGAGACCTCATCTGGCCCCTCAACTCCCAGGAGGGGCCAGAGGCAGCGTTCCTGCACCTGCCTGCCTCCTCAAGGACACCTTAGCCTCCAGCCTTCCAGGGGGGCTGCAGCCTCCCCACCATGCGCCCGGGGCCCTGGCCCAGGAGTGGGGGGGTTCCTAGGGTCCACGCTGGGGCTGTGCCCAATGCTGGGGATGACTTCGGACCCCCCGCCCCAAGGCACCGGGGCTGCAGGCTGCGGGGCGGGTAGTCCAATGGGCAGCCTCGCTTTGGAGGCGGGCTCAGGCCGGGAAGCCACTCTGCGGCACAGCAGCCCCACGAGACGGCGCCCGCGCCCCCGCCCTCCCAGGCAACCGGCTCCGCGGCTCAGGGCGCCAGAGGCCAACGCGCCGGGGTCCACGCCGCCTCTTTGGTCTCGGCCGCGCGCGCGTCCGAACGCTTGACTCTCTCTCCGAGGAAAGATAGTGAGACACGGGAACCCCCCTCGGAGGAGACTAGCGCTCGCAGAGGACGATGGTATGCCTCTCTTTCTCTCG